ATATATATATATATAATTATTTTCCAAGGAGCTTTTGTGCAAAAGCTTGTCTGATAATGCAGTTCAATACATTTACATCTTTGAATTTTAAAAGATGTATCAGTAGGCCTTCTGAATGGGTTTTCAATTGCACAAATGGTCTATATCGCCTGAAAAGCAATACTGGTTTTTGAAAGGCAGTGTACGTATTGTGCTACCCACTTGGGACTATCAGTGCCTATTGGCTACCAACAATTACCTTTGAAATGAAAAATATTGTTTGTATCAAAGAACTGTTTGAGTCTAAAGAAAAACCTTTGCAGCCTGCCAATCATCCCCATATCCTGAGGATTATATTGTTGGGAGTTTTATACAATTTACATGCAGAACTTGAAAATGACTCCAGTGAGTTATAGAACCCTGTGGGGTGTTTTCAGTCTGGTTAGGTTGCATTTCCTGACACTGCTGACATCAGATTCTTTTTTTGGAGATAGGAACCAATGTCTTTCTATTTTTAGATGCCTGAAGTCTGTCCAGCAATTGTTATCACCAGTGATTACTCCAAAAGTCTCCTTCTTCCTGGTTCCAGAAGAATCGCATTTACTAGTCCAGCAGAGATTTTAAAAAAAATTTATAAATCTCTCCCCAGATTATTGATTTGGAAAAACAGCGAAAAGAATATGAATGTCACCTAGATTATCAGTTTTAAGTTATTAGAATTAGAACTATTAAATTTCCAGTAACTAAAACAAGTCCAAGAATCACTGTAAATCGACATTTTAGAAATTTTAAACCAAAAATTTCTTTGGAAAAGTCTTTATCATTAATTTTGAAATTATGGAGACCAGCCAGGATGTCATTTCAAAATATAATTTTTGTTTCAAAATACATCTATAATGTCTTTATAGTTTATGGATTTCATGGCAGCAAACTACACTGGAGTCATAAGACATGCCAGTGTGATTAAATTCTCTGCCTAATGCATGAAAGTGAGTTATTGTAAAGTTTGATATAAAGAGATATGTTATTTGATAAATTTATAATGGGACATGTTGTGGAGGTTTAAGTGTTACTAGATGTTCATGGGCTCTCCAAGGCATTTTTTCCAAAGGAAATCTTGACTGAAATTAATTCTGATTATTAGCAGA